AAAAAAAAAAAAAAAAAAAAAAGTCCACTAAGTGAAAGCATGGGAAAAAATTAAAGCTAAAATATACATAGAAAGAGGTGAGGCTGCCTTGACAGCTGTGGTTACATTGATGTTGGAGGACATGTACAGAGCTAGAGGGGAACTGTTGATGTTCAAGAAAGAAAAGGTTATTACTCATACCAACTGTGATCTTTTTTCAGTGTGGGATGAACGTTTGTAACACCCATTAAAGAGAATTACGCATATAATTCCTGACATGTTAAAAAGGTGATTGTCAACCTCACAGAAATGTAGCTAATACTTTGATGAAACAGATCCTACTTGTGATTTTAATTTCCATATTTTTTGTTTGTGGAAGTACTGTTCTGGGAAAGCAAGACCATTTTGTGTGACAGAAAAGGTTTGATCTTTTTGTAATGAATTTCCAAGATGAAATACTACCTTGAAAAAAAATCATGGTAGCTGTATCTGTGATACTGTGACTGAGCACGGTGCTTGTGTGTGATTTGACACTGTGAGCAAGCAGTGGGCCTGCTCAGTGGATTTAACTAAATTGAAGAACTTGTTTAAATTAAGCATGGAAGTGACTGCTTTGATGAGGCAGGACCTTGGAGTTAGGACTTCTGTTTTCTAATTACACCTAGTCAAAAAAATTGTTAAAGAAAGTGTAATCACAGGACTCTGCCAATTTGTCACAACCAGAATACTTCACGTTCAATGGCAGCAGTTTAAGTTGAGCAGGACAAGAAGAACAAGCAAGCACTCACTCTCTGCTTTTGGATGACACTCAGTGCTTTTCTGAGCTGCATTTTCTGTGCAGGTAAAACAGAGATATGAAAAGGTTCCGAACTTTGTAAGGGAAGTTGTATACTAGTTACTTATTACTACCCAGGCTCTATATAAATGGAAAGCTTCTACGGGTATTTCTTAAGATTATCAACTAACTAGTGCAGGCTAGTAATCTAGTAGCAAAAAATCAAAGGATAATAGGGGTAACAAGTCTTATATCTATTTCTTGAATATTTTTTGAAATGACATGTATAAAACCGGTTTTTCAGCATATAAAATTATGTGTAACCTTTGTCCCTAATTACAAGTTACCCAAGCATACTGATAGGGGTATGATAATTTCAAAGCCAGGAGACAGACTGTCTTCCTGCTTTGGCTCACTTTTCTAATTAAGATCATTAAACATAGTAGTCAGATTGATCCGAGACTTAGATAAATAATACGTCCTGTTGTTTCCATTGATTTGAATTTTTAATTAACTGAGTTCCATTGCTGATATCACATTTCTGGCTCTTGACTGCAGGCTTTCTACATGTGAAAATGTAAAAACTACATATTGGACTGAAAGACGTGTCCCTTGGCCTATCCTTTGGGATATTGCTCATGAAATTGTGCTGTCTCCAGGATATGAACTTCTGTAGCAGAGATTCTCCCCAGAGTCTACCCATTGTCAGACACCTACTACAAAGAGTTAGAGCAGAAGAGCAACCTCAGCTGCTCCAAAGATTGTTCAGATGAACACAAGGAGGATCTACCAGATTCAAGTTTATAGAAAATATACATAGTTATTACCACCCACAATTTCATTTTTGCACCATCTCTCCATGGAAGAATTAATGTTTAAAGACAGACAGAAAACAAAAGGGAAATTAGGAAAACGAGAAGCAGATGGCTTCACTCTAACTGATCTTCAGAAGAGACCACACTACTGAAAGTGTCAAGGGGAAAAGCTGTGCCAGGCAGAAGTATGGTGGAGGCAGACTCCGAGATGCGGTTGTGCAAGGAGCTGGCAGGAGAAGGGACAAAGGTGGGAACAGCAGCGAAGTGCAGGGGTTGCAGCAAGCTTGACAGGGGAGGATAACCAGGGAGGGGCTGAGCTCAGCAGAGTTTTGAAGGAAGCGACAAGAAGAATGAATCTAACATTACAGCTGAGACACACCCAGCATTGCCTTGCGATAGTGTTTATTATACAGCTTCAGCTCTCAGATTTTATTTTTTAAATACATTTGTAGGCCTGTTGTGGGAAACCTGAAGATATGACCTCAAACATCCAAAACAACAGAAAGCAGATAACCTTTTTCCCCAAAGTTTACTCAGGTTTTTTTAAGGTGTTCTCAGGATGTGAGCAACATGAAGTTGAATTTTTGATTACCGAAAGCAGCAATACTGCACCCAGGAGGAAGGGCAGAACTTATCCAGTCTTATGCACCGTTTGGGGTTTGCACCATCAACTTCTGCTTTGCACGTGCTGCGGCCGAGCCCATCTCACACAGGTACATTGCAGTGCCACAGTCTTGTTCCAGTTTCACCTGTGACTCTCCGTGCCACAGAGAGCTGGTAATCATCTGTGATAATCACCCAGCCAGGGGTGTTTGGAGACACAGACCACAGCGGAAGACTTTACATTCAGATGAGCTGCTCTAGGAGGTAAAACTCTTTGGGTTCAATCTCCTCATGTGATCTGAAGCCATACTAACATGTGCTCAGCAATGAAGTGATTTGGGAGGTCTGCCTGGGGATGCTGAAGTCCAGTAAAGACCTCATTGTGGGTCCTGGCCTCCAAAGGCAAAATCTGTTTCCTGACGAGCACCAACCTACTATCTGTCTGTCCATAGTAACAGAGGTTGTACCCCTCAGTACCTGGTGACTATGTTAACCTGATCCTACAGACACACAGAGTAGGGGAAGGAAACTTCTAGGAGAGAAGGTGACCTTAGCAGCCACAGAGCAGGCAGTGGGTGTTTGACTGTCCCATTTCACATTCCAGGCATATATAATGCCTTTATTTTCTCCTTTTCCAGATTTTATTGAGCAGCTAACATGAAACGTTCCGTCAGATTGTAATACTTGGTGTCAGCCTTTGTCTACTTTTCAGCTTTACTGAAAGAAAAATACACAGCGTACTAAGAAGGGCATCTTGCATTCCACTTTAGCATTGTGCATTCGTAGAGCCCTGAAGATCGTTCCCAAGATCATTCTCGGATGCATTTAATCCACAAACACAGTGGTGGTATTTTTAAAGGAATCGAGAGCCACCTTGTGGAGCAGGGATTCACAAAGGGGCTCCAAATAATACTGCTGGGAACAGCTACTCACTGCTAGGAATTCGGATTCAACAGGATCCTGGAGGTTGTTAATCTGGTATATATATGTTCAGTGAGCACACAGTACATCACACAGCTCCTCTGCTGACTAAAACTGGGCAGAGAAGAAAATATGCTTGTGGGTAGTGACAGGCAGGAATGTAAGACTGTCAGAAAAATGCAGAAAGCAGCAAAATCAGGGAAGCAAAGTAATGTGCTCATTATGTCCTACACAGCCTTGGTGGGGAGGGCGGTGTTGTTCACAGGCCATTTTTCACCATATAATTAATTAAGTCCTCAAAAGTGCTGATAAGTTTTGGAATCATTATGTGTAGATTTCTATCACAGACTTATTTTCTCCTGCAGTCCTTCATTAATGTTGAGAATTAGGATTGCCAGAGCCCAAACAGTGGCCCATGCTCCATAACCGGAGAAGCAGCAAAGGTGGGATCACTGATGGACATAATCCATAACTGGACATATTCACCAGTTGTTCCTGCATAGAAGAGTAGTCTTAGTTCTGAGGTTGCGATAAGGGCTATAAAATGATTCGTTTACCGTTTCTCTCCCATCATTTATCATGATAAACTCTGAGCTGCTTGTCAGTACCAATATATGGATACCAGCACATGGTCTTACCAAAAAGAGAGGTGTTTGATCTTTTTCAATACCTTTATGCAGCAGCAACTTTATCTTCAGCACATACTGTCATTAGATCATGTCTTACAAATGTATTTTATATAAGCACAAATATTAAAAAGTCTCTCTAAGTGGTAGACCTTAAATATCTAAAGAAACTCACACAAAAAAGAAGGGACTATGATGCTGGAGTAATTCTCCAGCTGCTTAGAAAAGCCATTGCTGAGGTAAATGGTTGGTAATTTGCTGATAATCAGTCTGGTTATTGAATTGTGACACAACTGAGGCCAGAGCAGAACTTGAACACTGAGCAGTCCTACATGATTTTACCCATTTCTAGTCAGCTAAGTTTCAGCTCCAGGAGCTTTTTTAATTAGTTACACACTAGCAGAGTTCTAAGTTAAATTAAAATTCAAAAAAGATACCACTTTCAAAATCCTTGTTAGCCAAACAGTCATTAATATCCCAAAGCATGCTACAAAGTGAGTAGCATATGAAAGCAACCTGAGAAGTCATTCTTTTTAGGCCAAGTATTAACAAACAAGCCCAGCATATCCTTTATTCTTAACAGAGTTTAGTTTTGTTCGAACATTGTTTTGGTAAACAGGAGATATCTATTGGTATCCTTAATGGTTGCTTCAGACTGGTTTAATTTTTTCCCCAGTAATTTAAATGTAACCACATATAAGATGACATGTGATAGTAGGGAAAAAAATCATAAAAAGACACAACAAGGCTCTGGCAAGAAGCAAACAACTTCTATTCTGCTTTCAAAAATATGGAAATCTCAAAAAACCCTGCACCTTTTCTTATCATACTTCATTCCATCATGTTTCTAAGAGGCCATGGTGCGAGGATCCACAGAGCACACAGATTTCCAATATTTGTTTCAAAAAAACCCATGATAGATGATTCCACATTAGAATGCACAGAGGTGAAGCAGAGCCAAATCTTGAAGAAACAGAAATGAACAGAATGCAAACCCCTATTTTCAGAACATTCCCAAGCTTTGGACTCAAGTCTCTACTTCCCAAATGGTCTCTGTCAAGAGGCGAATGCATCAGCAGTCAGGAGAATCCAGAAGAACCAGTAGGATCACCCTAGCCAGGATGCTGTACTCTTCAAACCCATGTGCGTGTTCAAGGATGTTTGATAAATGCTGTTCTAAACTAGACATGGTCGTGGCAAAGTGAATGTTCTGCAAAGAAAGTTAAACCAAAAATAGTATTTAATATACCCTTAAAATAAAGAAAAAAATTTCTCTTTCTCAATTTCTGTTTCCCACCCTCAATACACAGCTTTTATGATAGCTTTTATTGTAAATACTTAGGCAGTATTGTGGAGTTTAAAAGGACAGTTTAGAAACATATATTTTCTGTTCTACCTACAACATTAAAAAAAATTACAATTAAATTTCTAGGACTCCCTGAAGTTCATGAACTGTATTTTAAAGGGGGGACTATAAAAAGTAGTTGTGACTGCTATTATAATAATAAAAATGAGAATATAGTAAAATAGGGGCATAGGTTTGCTTTTACTTACAATCTCATTTCCCCAGTGGCGTTTGCCCTCCCTTTCTTACTATCTATTTTTCTGTCCGTCCTTTCTGAAGAAAGAAAGGGTCACCATCCCTATTCAAAACTTGAGTAAGCCTCTAAGTTACGGCATGCTGTGGGACCTAGATAGCTTTAGACCAGCATGACTATATTGTGCATGAGCAAGGTTTGTTACTGTTTTGAGCTCACCTATGCACTGGGGCATTTGTGGTGGTGATGTTACTAAATAGACCATAATGGCAAGGGGACAGAGCCATGATGGTTCCTTTCTGCCACACCCCTACATGATATCCTTAAAAGAACTTATTTATGTAGATACGCAGAAAGGTTGCAGAGGAAAGCTTTGCTCCTGCAATGTGTCACTGCCACGTGTCTTCGTTTCGGGTATCAATTATATGATGGGGATATCAAAAGTGCAGAAAGCTTCTGACAGGATTGAGATACACCTGAGACTCTGTGAGGACCTGTTTGAGTATAGCAAACTGAATTGCAGCCCTGTTTTATCAGTACAGTTCTAGCAGATTTTTGGCTTAGGAGAGTGCATTTAGCAGTGACAGAGGGATCAAGCATTATAATCGGGGAAAAGCACCGAAACCAATTTTTTAAGAGCTTTTGTGCAATGGGGATGAGAAGAGGAAAGATAGGGATGAGTCACAGTTTTTTCAGCTAATCAATAGGTTCATCTTTTAGTTTTTAAACAATGTGGTCTCTACTTGAGGGCAGTGATTTAATTAGGATTGAAAATTGTCCATCTGGTGTTCATTAAAAGTACTGGTTGTGTTTCTGCATTAGTTGTTTTCCTGGTTTTAGACATAAAGCTATTTGGTTGGTCATTAAAGTATAAGCTTCAAGATCCCATCCAAAGCGCATTAAAGACAGTGGGAAAATTTTCATGCATTTCAGTGGGTTTTTGATCATGCCCTCTTGGACACTGACTTGGGCTGGACGTGTGTATGCATTCTGTAGCAATTAGCACAGAAGAATGTAGTTAGCCTTAGCTTACCCTTGGGAAACAGAAGTATCGCTGTCACCACTTGCAGATGGATCTGTAGATCTGCACACCACAAGTTCTCTTAGTCAGATCAGAGCATAATCCTGCAGCACGTAATTCTGGAGCGATAGTTTACTATTGCATCAGTAATTTCTTTCCCTGCCATGTCTTTGTTATTTATTTATTTATATCTTATTTTCTATTCCTGGCACATAAAGAACTTACAAGTAATTGATTTTCTTACAGCCCCCACTTCTTGGGTCAGTCTGCACACGGAAAATGTTTCACATGGAGTATAGAGGTTTAGAAAAATAGTAATTCTCTTTCCCTATCCCTACTGCCTACTAGAGCACCTCTTCAAAGGAGCTCTCCTCGGAAGAGACTTTGAAACTGGGAAGGTGGGATGCAAATCCATGACACATGGGAATCCCACCCTTGCCCCGAGGAAAATCCAGCACATACCTGTGTTATAAGTCACCTTCACTTAGTGGTCTGATCACACTCTGAAGGTAGAGTGTGAAATCATGTGGCCTCACAGAGTAGGGATTTGGGGCTTGATTTTACTCAGGGATTTTTTTCTATGGTAGCCAAATAGATGCTTGCTTTCTTACATGAATATAATATGTGGCAAAAAGGCCATGTGCCCAAGTTACTGGTGCCTTCATAATATTTATTCCATTTCTTCTTTTTAGCCACACAAATAAGACACTGTGCTTATTCAAGAGTATACCCAAGATAGGGAAGGAATAATTTACTGATTAAAAAATTCTAATATACTCTTAAGTATCCTTCACAATTGTTGGAAAGGAAGAAAAAGATCTGAAAGTCAGACCAGCAATCTTATTTTCATCTTATCCCTGTCCATATGACAAGGGCAAGCAAACCCAAACAAAAGCATAAACAGCATACACCCATCCCCAGAATTGCTCACACCATTTAGGCAATTTAGAGCAGTAAACAAAGATAAGCGATCTGCATAGAAGCAGCTTTAGATGACCACAAATGGATACCGCTGTTTAATTCAACCCTCTCTCACCTAAACAAGTTTGTTTTCTCAGTGGTGTTTATTTGTACTAGGGAGTGCTAGGGAAAAAATTCCATCCTCCTCCAGATTTATCTGCTTCAATGTTGTGAAAATTCAGTATTTCCCCAGCCTGAGAATATATTCCTCCTACAGACACACTCTGTATTTTGCGATCTTGCCAACATTTGTTGGTTGGTTATTTTCTTCCCTGTAACTCACAGCATTTTGGTGGGACTGGCACTGGTCTCCTATATGGGAGAAGCCCTACAAAGCTCAGTCCGGAAGGGAAACCCCATGTGATCAGCATTTTTGCCTCAAGAGACAAGGAAGTGGGGAAAGAAAACATAAGGCAGAAATAGGTGTGTGAAGGTTTGAAAAACTGAATTGGGGGATGGTAGCAGGGGAATGCTTTCTCCCTTTTTCTGATGCTGAAAAATGGAAATTTTGAGGAAAAACTTAAGAAAAACTTTTTTGTGAAATATTTTTTTTAAAATCCACAATGAAATAATTGCTAGGCTAAAAAGTTGAAGATTACATACACTTCAAGTTGTCAAAACGTTTTTCTGTAGCTCATACACATTTCAATCTTTTTCACTTTCCCATGAAAACATACAGAATCACAGAATCATTCAGGTTGGAAAAGACCCTTGGGATCATCAAGTCCAACCATCAGGCAATGGCAC